CATAACTTGATAAAAACCATACTTTTCCATGGTCTTGAATATTTTAAAAAATAATTTAAGATTTACTCTGTGTATTTGTAAACCCTAACCTGATTTCAATAATTGATTAACCCATTAACAGAAATAAATTATCTTACCTTATTCCATGACATGTACTAACTGCAGCCCATGACTTGTAATTTCCTTTTAAATTACCATGATAATGGCAATGGGTTTGTTTCTGTAATCATGTTTCATTTATTAAATATACAAAACATGTACTATCTAGCTAAGCTAAAGAGGTAACAACAAAGTTAAGCTTAGCTGAACATGTAAAAACAAATAAAATCACTTATCAGAACATAATTAACATTAAATCAATAGGAAACTTTCGCTGAGCTCAATTAAAACTACTTTGCAATTATTTCTTACAATTTTTCTACATTTAGGTTGCACAGTTTTAACAGAAGTATGAAAGCATTATTTTTAAATTGTACAAATAGAACCAATGTTTTCATTGAATCTTAAAACTCACCATTAATAATACTCAAGTTAAGCAGTTAATAAAATATTACAATATTACAAATTGTAAATTATAGTGCTGTATATATATTAAAACGTATTTGTGTCAAAAACAAAAAACGGTGTGAATCAATCTTGTTGGCAAATAGCGTAAATTAAATAAAATATCGGCATATTTCTAAACACTAAATTCAGGGTACAGTTCAACTATTAAAAGTTAAATTATTTAACATGGCTTTGTATTATTTCAAATTCTCAATAAGTAACACAAGTAAATTATAAGATGGATTACGGTTTATTATAAAAGGTGATGAGCTACAAGAAAAAATAATTGAATAAACAATAACAAAAGCAATAATACTTAGATGTTGATACTGGGAGAAATATTTTTGCAAAGCAAATACAAAAGGTGAACATAAAATTTCTTTCTTGTTATTTAACAAATATGACTTGTAGCTACATAATACACAAAACAATTGGCTTATTTCTTTAATTAATGGTTTGAAATATTATGTAGTTAAAATAGATAAAAATTAATTTCACATGATATTACAAACACGTTATTTTACATATACCAAATAAAATAATGAAAGACTAATGCATAAAACTTAACATATACAATACTCCTTCTTACCCTTATTATATCTCATTCATACTGTTGATTGCAATAATGTGGTGGTTTTTTTCCATAGTTACACATTATTAAATGAAGTAACTTATATTCCAAAATTATATATTCATATAGGCAAACTTAAAATTAATTTGGAAAAAATCAGCTTTCTTACCTCTTTCATTGGTTTTTCTAATACGTATGTTCCATTTTTGTGATGTTTCTCAAAATAATGAGATGGGAGTAAAAGTTGATTCATTCGAAGCTCAAGAAGAAATCGTTTTTTTGTTGTTTGAAAATCGACCATGAGGACCTTTTCATGATTATCCTATCAAAATATAAACCACTTTTCAGTTATTTAGATGGTCTTGCATCAACAAACTAGCATTTTGCAAAATTCTAAAATAAAGTGCTATTAACATTAGTCAAGTTTAAAAAAAATGGAGTTAACCAAAAAAAACAAGACCAGGAAACTAGTTTTGACACATGAAAGTGTCATCTAGTTACCTTGTCTTTTTAACAATGTTTTGTTCCAAACGTTTTTTTCTGTTAATTCTATTGTGTATTTTACACTATTAAGTTAATGGAAATGATATGGGTGTGGTTTAAATATATTTGTTGAGAATTATCTTTTGAGAAAGACACTTCCATGACCATGTTGCCTTTAATATAAAATTTATTTCCTATGGCAATGGTACAATATATAATTCAACTGTCTTGTATCCAAAGTCATGCCAAATCCATACTGATATTAAGGTTTCCATTATTATTCCCTGGCTACTGCTTACTCCATGAATGATAAGAACTTACTATCTTGGAAGCTTGTTTATTGGATAATTATAGAAGAAAGTGTTCTGAAAGTGTTGAAACAAAATTTATATTGATGAAATATAGTTCCAAAAATGAAGTCTTTATTATGGTTAATAGGTTTGTTTAAGACTAAAACTACAAAATTAATTACTTCTGTATACGTTAGTGGTTTTTGAAGTATTTCTAATAATAGTACTTTTGTTGGGGAAAAGAAAAATTAAAATTTTCATATAAATGAATCCTAAGCAAAATTCGAATTTTGAGTTCTACATTATTAAAAATATTGATTTACTATGTTCTACATATAATATTATTCCCCCAGTGGGTCAGTGGTAAGTCAGAGCATATGATGCTTAAAAACTGGATTTCAGTACCCATGGTGGTCACTGCACAAACAGCCTATTGTGTAGCTTTGCACTTAATAACAAACAAACTAAATAAACAATATTTGATTTCAACTTCTAAAATGACTTACATCTCCATCTTAATAAAAATTACTACTTGTGTTGATAAATGTTTAACATTTATTTAAAAAACAAACATTCTATTACACAATAGATCCAAATAATATATCATTATTACTTTTAACATTTGTCTTAACAAGGATTAATTAAAGAATCGTGATTTGTACTTCAATAAAAGTTTGTTTCTAAAGACAGAATCTTTCCATTTTTGTGATTTTATTCATCACAACCATTTATTTAAAATTAAGTTTATAATATATTCACATGGCTCTTTTATATTAATGAGAGGTTAAAATTTTTAGGTGAATAAAAGACTGTCGTTGAGAATTTGGCTAGCTGTTTCACGTTATTTTACTACAGTCAGATGGTTGTCATGGGAACACTACCAATTTACTTTTTTCTTTATCTTTATATATGAGTCATTTAACACAGCATAAAGTAAAATACTTTTACATACATCCTGTATTAGTTTTTTTATTTACATTCTTCAAGAGAATTTTATAACCATCACCACTTGGTCTGTGAATTATTTGAAATTAAAGTGTTGGTTCAGGAACTTTACTAATTCAATCGTAATAATTCTGCATATACTAGACACGTGCCATCTAGCTGTTGCTAAAAGATATATCTTTTGGACATTCATACATACATGCCTAACATTGTTAATAAACATTAATTCAACTGATGTATGTATAGACTACCACTAAAATTTACATTTATTTAAATCAGCACTAAAATATGCCACTTTCATACTGTGGTTGTAACCTACATCTTCCTATCATTTTGTCTTTGTGAAACATGGCATTCCTTTATCTTTAATTCTTTATGGCATGTGCAACTTTACCATACATTACTTTATGATATTAATTCCTGTTTATATTCAATAATTATTCTATCTTTGTAATTAAAATATCAAAACAATTTACACCCTCCCTATATTACATATTGGTTTCAACAACTTCTGCAAATTCTACTGATAAAATATATAGACAAATTTGCTACTCAGCACCATTTACAAGTCTCTCACTGATACAACTTAAGTATTTTTTTCCCCCTTTATGTTGAATATCACAATGCTTTTCATAATTCACCATGTATTTTCTCAGTTTTAGATGACAATTAAAGAGAAGAAACATGATGTGTTTTCTTTGAGGTAGAAGATCTTTTAGAGTTAAATCAGTGTTTTGTATTGAGGTGATCATTGTATAATTTAGAGTGAGGACTGTCTGTTGTCACACATAGGTACGAATTTTAAATTAACTTTTTTTTTGTTGATAAAAATATTTTTGTTTGTTTCACAAGAAAAAAAGGTTTGTCCAGCTGTT